CAGCAGAGCAGCATAGGACACAATGTGGGGATCTTGCTACCAGAGGCTAGAAGCCAGGACCATGGATCTGTCAAAAGTCAGATGGCTTTGCCATACCTCAATAGTCAGCATTCTAGGGACCAGTCCAGACCAGCACTCAGTCGAGGACCCTGTCTCCTCTATACCACAAGGTGACATAAGATAGGAGAGAATGAGATGCTGTTGACTGGTTATTAATTTTTCTTCCATGCTTAGAAAGCACAAGAGCTTGCAAGAAGGATCAAAGAAACTGCCTTTTAAGTTTTTCATATCTGAGAGGTATGGGTTAATTATCCACCTTGCTACATGATATTTACTTTTACTGTTCACGTAACCTGAAGTGCTCTTCTGGACCTCCCTCTCTGTTGAAAGTAATTAATGCTTCAAAGGCCAGTTCAAGTGCTGTGACACATTTTCAGTGCCTGCGGTCAGCATTCATCAAAAGTTATCTCTTTTGTCAATTTTTTTTTCCAGTGCCATTGGTTATAGCTAATTAGCTTTCCTCTGAGATAAACCTATTAATCAAATGTGGATGCTTCTAACAAGCCAGGTCCTGAGAGCAGAATGACACAGTAACAGACACCAAGCAAGGTGATCTGTTTTATCTAGAAAATGTCCTTAGCTCAAACCAGCTCCTATTCAAACACTGTGCACATTATCTGAAAACCAAGCCACTTGGAAGTGGATTCAAAGAGAGTGATCATTATATTGTTTCTTCTGTTTTGCTCTTGGAACTACCGTATGTCACTTGGAACTTCAAAGAAAGGGGATGGTGGGGAACTTCCATGAGAGATGACACCACCCAGGACTCTGAGGTCGGTTTAAAATCTCAGACTAATGAAGGGTCCAGAGGACACCATATTAACCAGCCCCTCATCCCTTGATGGTAATGTCGAGAACCCTTAGCACTGAGCAGGGGCCTGGGGCCTGGGATAGGGGCCAGTCAGGTTTTCTGCAGACCCTCGAATTACAAGCTCTACAGGAGAGATTGTCAGACCTGCAGAGAAAGTCCCCTCAGGTAACTTTAAAACACTCCATGAGGCTGGACTAAGAATACAACTGTTGAAGATTTTTCATGAGCCTGTACCATCAGCTGAGGAACACAGTAAAACAAAAAAGTCAGCCTCTTGTTGTGAAGTGTTGTCCAGTGGGTTCCAACTCATAACAACCCTGTATAGGTTTTCCAAGGCTATGACTCTTTGTGGGAACAGGAAGTCTCAGTTTACACCCTGACTTCTCTGTGAGGAATAAAAAATTGTACTTATTTGCTTTCATGCTTAGGAACACAGGAAATATTCACTGAATCCCACCAGTAATAACTAAAATATATCCATTCTTTTGGGTTCAGCCAAAAAAAAATCTTTATTGGTAGGGTCTCAAGTATTAGCAAACCTCTTGTACAGTCCTGATGTGGCACTGTAAAATGAGCACTAGACCACAAGGTAGGTTTGAACAGCAAGGTTGGTACTTCAGACTCACCAGCCGCTCCTTGGAAACCCTGTGCAGGGTCGCTATGAGTCAGAATCGATTCGACGGAACTTAGTAGCAACAAGGGAGGCTTGGGGAGGAGTCAGAGAACCCATCAAATGCCAATAGACATCTCCATGAGGACCTCCCACCAATTTGGGTTGGGATTGAGAATTGAATCTCTGATTCCTACTCCATTATCCTCTTGCTCTGGCCCATGCCAAAGTCTGAATTCCTTCCGTTTTTTTTGCATTCCCCAAGGCCTAGATTCCCACTGCCACTCTAAGCTCTTGCCACTCAGACCTTGTGGGTCAGAACATTCTGGTCCTGCACTCCATAGTTGGGCTCAGAACATGAAGATGCTGCTGGGCTAGCTTCCTAACAATGTCTCTCCCCAGAAACATTGACTTCACCCAGAAACATTTTTAGCTGTGAGTGAATCATGTGTTGTTGTTATGTGCCGTCGAGTCGGTTATGACTCATAGAGACCCTGTACAGGGTTTCCAAGGCTGTAAATCTTTACGGGAGCAGAAAGCCTCATCTTTCTCCATTGAAACAACTGGTAGTTTCAAACTGCTGACTATGAGATTAGCAGCCTGATTCATAACCACTACGCTACCAGAGCTCCTTGAGTGAATAATATAGCACTTGTTAATATGCTTGTCACACATAAGTTTCTAAGCTTTATATACACATATGTTGTTTTTTTAGGTGCTGTCGAGTCAGTTCCAACTCATAACAACCCTTTATAGTGTTTCCAAGGAGTAGCTGGAGGGTTTGAACAGTTGACCTTGCAGTGCAAACTGATCTTTCAGTCCAATGCTTACCTGATGATACTACAATCCTTATATATTTATATGTTGTTGTTAAGTGCCATTGAGTAGGTTTCAACCCATAGTGACTCTATATAGAGTTTCCAAGGAGCAACTGGTGGGTTTGATTTACTGACCTTGTGGTTCACAGTCCAGTACTGATCCTACAGTGTCACACCAGGAGTGTGTGTGTATATATATATATATATATAT